GCTTTTTAYTTCTTTTTATACCCTTTTTCTATTGATCCTGTAGCACATTCCCTCCCTGTTGCCTTTAGTCACACAGCAAAAGAGGCTCCTTTTGCCACAAAACTGTCACCTTTTCTCGTCTCCTCTCCTTACTGGGTTTTTACAGCTACTCACTGCAGCAGAGAGCGAGTCAAGCACTACATTTGATATAAACTCTCCAAGTGGTGCAGCTAAATCAGTGTTAGGCCTAACCTAACCATGCACCCCAGACCCTTGGAGCCCAGAGAACACTTACGAGCTAAAATGCAGAGGACTTCTACTCRGAGTTTTCACCTAGTTAAGTGTAGTGCAATTCTATTCGTACCTAAATGAACAAGCTGAAAGCTCTCGGTTCTGTTGACCAAAAGCACAGTTTCCATCATGGTCATTGTGGAGGAAGAGTCCACGTTACTGGGTATTCTTCTGAAATGATGATATTTCTTGTTTGTTCTAAAGACTCTACCTCTCCATTTCAGTGGTCATCTATCAATGAGCTTGATAAACTGCCAAGCTTGCGGTCACTGCAGTGCCGCAATAACCCTTTGATGGACACAGAGAAGAACCAAGAGACCTTGAGACAACTGATTATTGCCAAGATCAGTCAGCTGGARGTTTTGAACAAGTCTGAGGTATGTGGGTTTTTCAGCAAATTGCCTAGCACTGCAGGCACGGGGGTTGTTTCAGCCACTGAGTGAGGATTTGTTCTCAGTTTGCTTTAAAATTATTCCGTTTGCCTGCAATAATAGGGAGCTGGTGTTATCTGAACCAAATAACTAAAACTCTGGCAAGTGTTTATTGTAAAAGGGAGCAGTAATGGCACCTGGCCTATAGTTACAGGAAATAGTGCTAAAACAGTCTTGCATCATAAAGTAACAGCATTGCCATACATACCCATGCGAGGATCAGTCAGTACCTGGAGCTTATAAAGATCTGGATAGCTTTAAAAAATTACTGAACACCGTGGTAAGTAATGGCAAGGAGTCCGTACAGAGAATTAGATTTTCTTCTTGGGAAAGATGACATAATTGCACTGTGGACCATCCCTGTGTCCGTACAGATCCTTCCTGCTGAAAGGAAAGGAGCAGAGCTCGATTATCGCAAAATATTTGGAAGAGACTGGATAGCAGCTGGTGGACACTGGAACCCGGAGAGAAACAAACCAAGTGAAGACTTCCTTGCAGCCCATCCCAGATACCCCTCTCTCTGCCTCAGTAAGTGGCGTTGCCCTTCCTTGCCTCCGGCACTGTGGTCCCTTCCCTTCCCTTCMCTTGGTGCTCGGCYGTGCGCTCCTGCATCCCGAGGAAGCCCCCGCAAGGCCGCTGTCCGCGTGCAGGGAAGGCGGGAGGCAGCCCTGGTGCGGCTGCAGCCCCGAGCTCTGCCTCCCTGTGGAGCTGCCCGCGGTGGGAGCTGGGCTGAGCCCTGCCTCCCTGGGGAGCTGCCCGCGGCGGGAGCTGGGCCGAGCCCTGCCTCCCTGGGGAGCTGCCCGCGGCGGGAGCTGGGCCGAGCCCTGCCTCCCTGGGGAGCTGCCCGCGGCGGGAGCTGGGCCGAGCTCTGCCTCCCTGGGGAGCTGCCCGTGGCGGGAGCTGGGCCGAGCTCTGCCTCCCTGTGGAGCTGCCCGCGGCGGGAGCTGGATCGGCAGCCGGGGCCCAGCGGCGCCTCGGCCTCCCCTCTCTCCCAGCCTGCACCTCCCAGGCCTCCTCCGTGGCTCCTTCGTCTCCGCGTTCCTGGTTCCCGTCAACCTGTTCCTTCATCCCTCACCCACAGAATACGGGGCACCGGAAGAAGGAGAACTGAAAAGACAACAACCTGTGACGCTGAAGAATCAGCTTCTGAGTAAGAGTCTGGAAATGGCCAGAATTAGTGCTGCTTCATTTAAAATACATTAGGCACCTGGCCTGCCCAGGCCAGGTGTATGGGGAATAAAGGGTGGAAAAGCCTTTCCAAGCTCACAGGATTGTAATTTTGCTGCTCTGAATCACATGGATCATGGAGTGCAGAGCTTCGCTGTGGTGTTTATCACTCTAGGATAATATTCTTAATTAAGACTTAGTGGGGGATAGAGGTGTGCAGCAGTGAATGACTCCTCTCCAGCCTGAAATACGTTTGAGATTTAAAGCTTAATAGCAAAACTATTTTGTGATGCTGTTTTTTTCTGGTTGTTTTTTAACATTGCTTAATTTCGGGAGAGTGAAGGAAGATAAAGGTAGCTTTGGTATTGGGGCTGTTTACGTATGTAACGCAGGTTACATCCCCAGTGTACAAATTCACATGTCATTGGTTCCTGTGTGATACAAGAACCACTTTTTTCCCCTCAATCCATGGGCAAAATAATTTTTTAAGACAGTATCTTCTAATAATATGTTTAGATGGATGAGCAACTAAAACACAAAACTTGGCTGACTRAGCATAATAGAAAAACATTTTAAAAGTTTTTAAAGTCTTAATCTCTGAATAAAAAAATGGAGAAGCTACTAACTGCGCCTCAGAAGGTACTGAGCTTCTGAGATGCTGAAGGCCAAAAACCTGTTTTAAACTGGGCAGGCCCTTTCTCCTGCATGGTATTTTGAAAAATTAACTAGAAATTTTAGGTAAATAGTCATTTTAAAGCAATACTTATTTTTTTCAGAAAGCTATTGAAGTRAATAAATTTTCATTTATATTATTGATAAATTAAGGGAAAAAAAATAAGAGCCACGCTGTTAAAGGGCATCGTAGCTGCTCAGAGACAGGCTGCCCCGTGCTTTGAGGCGAGGATAACGCTGAGTGTGTGGAGCGGTTTGTGTCAAGCCCCCAACAAACTCAGAGGCTCTGAGCGAGCCGCTGATTCRCTAATGCTGCCTGTTCCTTTTGTAGCCCTGACAATTAAGTGCCCTGACAAACCTGAGCAGAAGCCCCTAGAGAAAAAGCTGCCAGGTAAGGAGCCATTTCTCTCGTTTCAGCAGCTGACAGTAACGTCTTTCCAAAGCAGTTTGTACTAAAGGGTTGGCAGCTGCCTCTAGCTCTCCCAGCTAATTACTCCCTTGATGATTCTGGCTTGTAAAGGAATAGACACAGCTAGAATTTGCCTGACAAAGTCCTTTTTCTGACCCTTTTACACATTACTTTCAGTCCAGTTCCAAAAGCAGAGGGTTGATGCTGGTCACACCGCTAATGCTTAAGGCAATCAAAGGCACGGTAGCTGGTATGAAATGTGCAGGCTGKGCAGAGCACGAAGCTCAGTGTTTCACAGCCAGCTACCTGGTCTGCCATGCTCAGTGTTTACAGCTGCCTTTTTATAACKGGAATGAGAAATGTGATTCTCACCTTCACCCCCTTGGTATTTACGTAGTTCCAAGTTAAGTTCTAGTATCTGGAGTGGCAACTACAATGAACAGATTCTCTATCAAATAAAGCTGAGGTTTCAAAAAGATGCATCAGGATGGAGCATGAGAAAAGAAGACTTACTCAAGCTTTATTCTAAAATAAAAAACCACATTTATTATCACAAGTTTCATAAAATCAGATACAGCTTTTACAAAAATGTTTGATAGAAAAATACTTGTCTCAGTACAATGTGCAGTATTACAGGAATAACTCACTATTGCTGTGCCTGTAGGTAAAGCTTCAAAGGAAGTGAAAGTTTAACCAAAAACCCCAGTGTCTCTCTTGACAACACAGAGGTCACCTCTGGCCCGAATGACGCTTACTCATTCAAGAGCCATTGCAAAAAGACCCTGGGGTGTAAGTGACTTCATGAACCTCCCCCCCGCAGCTCTGCTGCCGCGCTGTTTGGGCCTGGCGAGCGCAGGGGCTGCAGGAGGGCGCTGCTTTCTCGGCGCGGGCTGTGCTGGGGCTGAGCGGTCGGCGGCCCGAGGCCACCCGCTTGCCTGTGCGTCCAACACCAGCTCCCAACGGGTGACTTGGGAAGCCCCAACCCGTCAATTTGGCATATGGGAATCAAAGCACTTAAATAGCAGTAGCATATGCTGTGTGTTCCACCAGGGATTAAACTGATTGCAACTTGATATTAGCAGTGATTTCAGATATAAAAGACATTATTGCAGTGTTAGAGCTGAAGCAGCAGTACAGCTTTCAGATGCTATCACCAAGTGCTCGAAACACTAGTACGTTGCTACAGCTCCGAGATAGCAGCATTTTTCTAGGATTCTGYTTTTCTTTGACAGATTCTATGACTATTCAGCGGGTCAAAGGGCTGCTGTATCGCCTGCTCAAAATCCCTGGCTCCGAACTGAAGCTGTCCTATGAAAGCTCTAAAGTGAGTCAAAATTCAGTAATTCAACAGTCAAGTACTTGCTGCTGCTGGGATCGGGGGCACGTCCTCAGTGCTACAGCAGGGAGCAGAGTCTGTGTGCTCTTAATCTGAGACCTGAGTTGATTCACAGATCCTCACAGACTGCAACTGCCTGCTTTCAGTTTGGTTTACATGATGAGCTTTCAGGTTTAATCTGGTCTKTTCTTTGTTGTTGTTTTTTGATTGATTGTTTTTTGTTTTGTTTTCATCTTACTCCAGCTGGAAGGAAAGGAAGTTGACCTGGACAACGACCTAAAGCCTCTGCAGTTCTACTCGATAGAAAATGGTGACTCTGTGCTAGTGAGGTGGTGAGAGGGGACCCTCGTGACAGAGCGAGGGGAGACCCAGCGCTGGAGGGCAGCGGAGGTGGGGGCTGCCTGCAGGGAGCGCCTGACGCTCGCGCTGTGCCCGAGAGCGCGGCCTGCGGCCACGGCGCCCGCGCGCTGCTGCCAGCCCTTAGGCCTAGTCGCGGCTCTTCACCAGAGGTCTTGCTTGGGGCTGAAGAGGCTCCTGGGAAAGACAGCCAAGCAGCCAGGGCYTGGTCCTGTCTGGGAAATAAACTATTGGCAGAAGAGTTTATGCTCCTTCCCTGCTGTAGGGGTGAGTTTTGCAGTTTGTTTTTTTCACACTGAACTCAGTCTGTGCTGTAGGTGCAATATCTTTTCTTAGAATAATGCTAGGACCAAGTTAGTGCTGCACGGAGAGAGGCTAAAGAGGCTACTTACTGGTTTGTTTTCACCGTTTTCCAAAGCCCTTAAAGCAAACAAAAGTGGAACAGCAGTAACTGTGCAAGTACCTATGCACCTTAGGCTACTTAAGAACAGACCTTCATTCTACCTCCAGCATTAGCATCCTGCAGTATAACTAAGTTCTCAGCGTCCTGCAGGGAATTACTAGTTATTTCACATTCCTTAGTGTTCCGTTGCTCAAACTCACTTTAACTTTCTACCTCCAGCTTCATCTCTAACAATGCATCACGCTATGAGAAACCCCTCRGAGACAGGCTAAGTTTGCAGTACTTCAGCGTTTGGTATAGGCAAACTTGGATACCGTTCTCTCCAACACGACAACAGGGGAAGCAAAGGAAACATAGATCGTAACCCCAGCTGGGCCAGCCTCTCGGAGCAGCCCCTGCAGCAGGGCTGAGCAGAGGCCCTGCTGCAGCAAGGCTTGCCCCGGGCTGGGCACAGCTCTTAGCTGGACACTGGTACAGCTCTACACGGAGTTAAATCAGTAGTATTCTCACTTACAAAAGACAGGTCAGGTGGCATTCTTATGTGCATTTATTAATTACAAGTAGTTCTTTGACTTTTTATATAAAAAGGAGATTGCTTATCTTAAACGTTTTGGTTTTGTCTGATCACCGYCTACACTATAGAAAATGGACAGTATCAGTCTGCCTGTAGTTATCAAAAGGGCTGTGCAAATACAGGGAACACCGCAGCTGGAACCCAGCATTATTAAGTGGTACCTTACTAGTCCATCCTGTTTCCAGAGGCGGAGGCAGCGGGCCCGTGGTGCCGCCGAGGCGAGCGCGTCACGAGTGCCGGCAGCGGCAGGGATCCCCGCAGCGCTCCTTGGCTCCCCAGAGCTGCCGCAGCTCCTGCGGCGAGTTCTGCGGGGAGGAGAGCATGCCGCCCGCGCACGCCTGCTCGCAGAGCCACGCGCCGTCCTGCGGGCACCGGCGCCTCAGCCACCGCCGCCGGGGCGCCCGTCCCGCCCTGCCCTGCGCGCCCAGCCTCCCCAGGCCCTGTCCCACAGGGGTGCCCACCCAGCCTCCCCATGCACCACAGGGCTGCCCGTCCTGCCCGCCCAGCCCCCCCAGCCTGAGCCCTGCAGGGGTGCCTGCCCAGCCTCCTCCTGCCCCRCAGGGCTCGCAGCAACAGGCTCTGCACCTGCAAGAGGCAGGGGCAGGGCCCCAGCCCAAGCCACTTGTCACTTAGGGGGTCAGGTGGTAGCAATACAAATTCTGATATATAATTAACCTGTTCCACCCCTCCCCGGGTTGTTTTACATTAGCTTCTGTACGGCAGAAGCTTGGAAGCTTGTGGCTTTCTGGAAAGCTTGTGGCCCCATTGTGGCTGCACTGGGGTGTTTGCAGCTGAATTTGAAGTCATTTCAACTCGGCAGCCTTGCCGGTGGGACCAGCCTTGGCCTCCTACCACAGGCAGCACAAGCAGCRCTGTGGCCATGCGGGCAAGAGGGCACTGCTGGCCCCGCTGCTCTGAGCACTGAGAGAGCCCCCCCCGCCACTGAACTATTCAGAAAAAAAAAAATTACAGCAGAGGTTCAGGGTTCCAGATTGCTGTGGTTACCATTAATGAATCTAAGTTTTTTGGTCTTAGACTTTTCATTYTCCATATATGAAGATAAGGGAGTCTGCACTGGCTAGATCCACCAGGATTCCAGTTATGTGGGCCACCCCTTTGGCACATGTGAAGGCACCTGTGGAGCTGAGGCTGGAAAGCGCTTAACCTCAGCTTGCCTGTGCCTTGGTACGTGCCCCGTGCCCACACCCCTGACCCCAAGAGCCCATTCACACTTGTCTTTCAAAAYCCCTCTAGCTGGCTTGCGCCCGCTTTACAGAGCGGCAGAGCAGTGGGAGAAGCCATGAGGCGGTGGAAGCCCCTGCCCCCAGCTGCTGCAAAGGCCTGAGCCAGACAGCAAGTGTTACCACAGAAGAGCAGAACTTCCCCTGTGCAGGAGCACGTTCTAGGCGCTTACCTTTCCTCTCTCGTTTCTCATCCATTCCTTTTTTAATTTTAACAAGTGTTTTTAGGATTTTATCTAATGGCTGTTAAGGGKTTTTTTGTTTTGTTTTTTAATATTTCTTATAGTTTGTGCTACTTAGAACAATAGTCATGGTCTCCTCCCGTAAGATCAGAGATTTTCTGCACTTACCTGGTATCGCTTGGGCCCTACAGCTGCCATCCAGATGCCCATGCTCACATCCTCACCCTAAGGCAACACATGTGAAAAAAACTGAGTTACCAGGACTTTGTGAACAAGAGCAGGTCGCCTCAGCTACCTGCTGCGTGGCAATAATGAAAAGCTACAGCAGAGATTTTAGATATGTTACATTAATCGTCCCAATTTTCCTGTCATAAAACAGTTATTTTCACAAGGAAACCATGAATAAAAACTGAGCCTGCAGCTCCATATGTCCTTAACACAAAGCACTCGTGCTTTGACACAGAGCAGACACGAGGCACAGCAGCCACATGCGCTCCAAGATGCCCAAGCACCTAGCAGGGGACCCCCCCCCCACTACTACCATGCCCTCGTGCAACACACTTTCCCTCCTCCCAATACAACCACTGCTCCCCAAAGTGACAGAACAGAGCAGAGCCTCCCGTACCTGGTACGTCTTCAACCTCTGGGAGTTGCTGGCCAGCCACTCGACGATGTCTTTGGAGATGACATAGCCAGACCCGCAGGCGAAGGCTGGATAGGCGGGACTGGGGTACTCCAGTTCTTGCCATTTCCCAGTTCGATCAACCGCCCAGTTTAGTCTGAAACTGAGGACCATGGTAAGTGGCTTGGTGTTCATACAGAGCCCCTGCAAGGCCAGGAACCTGCAGAACCTAACAAACACCTTCCTGTGGCACCCGCAGGAACACCAGCGAGCAGGATGGTGAGCAGAAAGCAGGAGGCGAGCCTAAGTACAGCTCAGAGAGCCTCATTTCTCTAGGSTCACACATTTAATCCAGCACAACAGCTTAAAACAAGTATAGTTTCACCTTGGGCAGGAAGAGCAGCTTCTCAAAAGGAAGGCAAGCAGYGCCCTGCCCGTGGCCCGGCCAGCGGGGCTGCACCAGCGCCGGCTGTGCCCAGTTACGCACTGGGGGAGGGAGGGCACARGGCCACTCGCAACACAAGTACCTGCTTCTGTTTGCAGCTTGACCTTACTGCTCTAATATCATTATCTACTTGTTCAAGTCCCATGATGAAGACATGTTCTAAAGCTACGCAAAGTATAGAGAAGCTCAGCCTATTTTAAAGAAATATTCTGGAAAGCTACTGTAAAGCATCAGCTTCGGTATTTGAAAAATCAAAGTCCTACACTTAAAATAGGTCAGCTCTTTATAGCTTCCACAGGCCAAAGAGAGGACACCCCCCCCCAAAAAAAAAAAAAACAGTCCTAAAGCAGTAAATTGCTGAACATTAATAAAAAAACAAACAAAAAAGAATCTTTTTAAGACAAGGCGAAAGACTCACTTTCCCCACCAAATGTTTGGCCTGTCCAGGTTTTTCTGCACTATCCTGTTAAAAACAGCCTCCAGGTCAATGTAACAGTCATCATCCGTCTTCAGCAACAAATCAAAGCTCGTTGATTCGACCGTCCTGGAGCAAGAAGAAGAGTGATGAGACGCTGAACAACAGCCCACAGCTGTGCAAAAGACACCTCTGCCAGGGTTTTGGGGGAAGCAAAGCTGAAAGGAGGCAGGAATGACATATTCCTTCCCTCAGCTTTTTAGTGGTTTCCCTATTGACCAAGGTTGGTCTACAGGGAGGAGATGCAGCTGCTACAATCTCATCYCATGCAGCAGGGATTTGTGCACGAGCTGAAGGGAAGGAACTGAACGAAAGGGCTTTGTTCCCTAGGACAGATGGTGGATTTGCTTACAATGAATCCGTCTTTAACAGTGTTGACCTTACAAGGATATGAATTCCCACTGACGATGGCAGCACRGCTGTCAAAAGCCAAGGGTCTGTGGGGGAAACAAGGGCCGTCCCTGCTTACAACACAAGGGGCCAGCTGAYGCAGAGGGTCAGCACTCTGAGTCTTCAGGAACAGGACAGAACAACAGTGAAAGGTCACAAGGAACATCCGTGGCAACAGCTTCGTACTTATTCTGCCGTAGTGAAGCATCCGTTAAATGTGAAATACGTAGCCTTTAACTGTCTGAAATATTTCCAGATCTGTCACTTGCAAAATAACTGAAGAAGCTCAAAATTCTAGAGATTATTCCTTGGTTTATCAACAAACAAAGCAAGTTGCTAGATACTGTAAAACATGGGATTGTCCTGCACTGCAAGCCACACCAGGAATCCCTCCCACAGTAATCCCTCTCTTCCCAGCTCACCATCGGTAGAAGTTCAGCAGTTTGGCTGGAACATTTCTGTAAGTGTCAACGACATCTACGAAAACAATATCGTCATAGGCACTGCTCTCCTCCTTCAATAAAGCGTCTTCTTGCTCGAGTTTTTTGATATGACTTGCAAACCTTTCAGGGCGGGTATGTAGGCTTCTCAGAAGGGCATCACCCTCTGGAAAAGAGCAGCACTGATAGACACAACGTTCTACTTCACAAGCTTCTCTTGGATCATATGCAACACACTCATAAAATAAATCTGGAAATGTGTCCTACTCAAAACAGTTAAGAAAATCCAACCATTACAAATTTGTATCAACAAAAGTTAAGACTTGCTGAGAGGAAAATAAATATATAGACATATATACATAAATATACACACCCTCCTACACATTTGCATTAAGTCTGATATAACTTCTATAATGTTTAAAGTAAAACAGTATCTTCTTCCTTTTCAGTAACAAGAACATTCAACTTTTTAAGGGTGTTTAATACAGGGAGTTGCCTGGGCCTGCACTCTCACTGCCAGGTACATTAGCGAGGCTGTTCTCTATTACCCCACTGAGTTCTAAGCATATCTATCTGTATTTTTATTGAAAAAAAATACAGCCCAAAGCAAAAGTCAGACGGAGTGGCTGACAAAGGGAGAGCAAAGACACCGTATCAGGACATTGTCATTAGGCAGAATAAAATAGAAGAGAAAAATCAATTGCTTCTGTTAAAATAAAACATATTAAAATGCTCAAACTCATAGAGATCTCATGATTTTTACCTCAGCAAAGTAATTAGTGACCTGAGTGTGTCAAAGCAGCAAGTATGATGTTACGGCCTGCAAACTTACCCTGAATAGTGTAGATGAAGCCACCTGCTACTCCCTCCACACCTTCCGTGAATTCGTGTGGCAACGACCCTTCCCCTGCCTGCTCGAACACAGCAACGGAAAGAGAGAAAGCAAGTAGTTCATCTCTTGTGAGGGAAGCGCTGTCCTCTGAGAACTTGAGTTGTAAAGTTCTATGGGGATTTTAATCAAGCCCATTTCTGAGGTGACTCACTGTGGTGACTCTGAAAACCCCTCCTCCGTCATTCACTGCCACTTTCTGAAGGTTTCTCGAAACAAGGCCCTGAAGATCCTGGCTTTCCCACACGATGGTGCCTTCGAAGCTCTGTGAAGAAAGAGAGCACAACTCAGTTACACAGGGGTTAAAAAACTTCAAAAGAGGAAAATCAGCCCTTTTTTTTTCCCATTTAAAAACGGTCAGCTTTAAGCGAAGCACATTTTAAACATACATCTTTTACTGACTGCTTACTTATTATGCTATAATAAAAAGTAGTTACAGATTAAAAAAAAAAGACATCAGTGAAACTTCATTCATGCCTTTCAGATGAATCATGAGCCTCTGCATTAGGAACATAATTAAAATTTAACAGAAGCCCAGCATAAAAGCCTTCAGCTTTTTAACTTCATTAAGATGGTATCTAAAGGTGACCTGAAGTACTTTGTAAAATATCAGCTATAAAACCTGTGTTACCAAGAGCATACATTGAAACAGATTTGGAAACAAATGCTGCTTTTTAGTTGCATGTCACATTCAGAGATCAGAGACCTGATCCTGCTGTTGGCAAAACCCAAAGGAAGCCACAGCCACCTTTATTCCAGCAAAACTGTCACAAGCCGCTCTATGGCAAGTAGGRAAAGGGAGAGGGACAAGTGAATCTTGCTGATCTTGACCAAGCTAATCATGTCTTTGTAATATCCTTCTGTTGTGCTCGAAACATCAGACACACAAAGCTCTTTCTGCTTTTAGAAACTTATGCCCTGACCATATTTTATGCTGATCTCCAAAAAAGCAGGAGGGAAAGGGGTGTCCCATTCTCTGTGGAGAACCTAAAATGAGGTAGTTTTTTCTCAAAAGCCAAAAACCTTCCCACAAGAGTGAAGAAGGTCTCTCCAAGAAAACTTTTTGATGAATTCTTTTTCCAAGCTTTCCTTTATAACTACCGGTGACAAAGAAACAGGTCCTGCCCGTCAGCACAYGCTGCCAACTACCGTCTCTCCTGCCTCCGCAAGTAACAGGGGGTTTCACGAGCGACTCTGGTGGTGACCCCAAGAGCAGCTCCGCTGCTGCACGTACCTCGGGCAAAATGAACTGCTCCACTGGCTTGTACCACAGCCCGTTGACCTGCACGCCGCAGCTGGGCGGGCTGAAGCGAGCGCTGAAGAGGGCCTCCTGCGTGCAAGGACGACAACAGCAGTGAGCAGCAGCGCCGCGGCCCCGCGCGCGGCTCCACCATCCTGGCTAGGTGCGACTGAAACAACAGGCTTTTCGCTTCAGTACGATACGGACTGGAAAAATGCTTCTCCAGATGGTCTTATAGCTTCACAGAACTGACAATTCATACTGATAGAGCAGACTAGCAGAGAGGGCGAGTTTCACTAGCAGTCTGACCAACTTCAGCGCAGTGCTCAGGGCACTTCAGTGCACTTTCTGCACCTGCCTTTAATTTTTAGCTTAGCGTTAAATTCCTTCTACTGTAACATAGCCAGAATTGGCCCATCAAGTTACTAGTGGAGTTAAATAAATAAAATAAAGCAAACACAATGGTCATGCTCAATGATCTTTTTCTCCCAGGTTTTCTTTAGATAAGCACTGAGCTCTCCTACCAAACCCCAAACTGAGCCGGGCTAGGGGAGAAGYGAGCACTGCTGGTTTGACTATTACCTGTAAACACCAGCTGCTGGAAATCTCAACACGTCTTGCTGGAGGATAGTTAAGAAAAAATTACAGATGGACTGCATCTCTTTGCCTCAGAGCACTCTGGGCTCCCCCTGAACATATATTTAAACCTATTATATATGTTTAATTCCTTAATACTTATTTAGAACCCCAGACACAACCACAACCGTGTCTTGGTATGAGAGATTAATGTTCTTTTGAAAAGCATTCATGGTGCTTTGTGAATTTCATTTTCCCTTTTTTACAACCAGTTGTGTGTATATATAAGCTGTGAAATAAGAAGAATTTACAGTGCAATAGGCAAAAAAAATACATCATTCATACGCTAGTCAGCTAAGTAGCTCTCCTAAATCATCACAGTATAGCACTTTCTGAAATAACTTAATCCACAACAAAGAGAAAATAAGATTTAGTTCATCTGCAAAAGACTCAGGACAGTGCCCTACCTCGTGCTCTGCCTGGTACAGCTTTACAGTGATGTTGCGCTGGAATCCCACACYGTCAGCCTCATAAAACACCCCAAGGCTGGTAATGACAATGGGGTAAAGCACTCGGAAGTTCACACTGACAACCCTGTCCTCGGAGAGCACGGAAGGTCTGTTCGCTGGGAAGCTGAACGCCTCTATTTCCTGGTTTAAAACTGTAGAGGAAAGAAAGGAGAAGGGGGAAGTGAGAAGATTCCCTTGCCATGGCACTGGATACAGACCAGGTGCAGCAGTTAACTCGGCTGGCAAGTGCAGAGGGGAACGGGATGCTGGGGAAGGACTCACAACAGGAAGCAGGGATGCAGCACCCGGCTGCCTTCAGCAGCTGCCAGCAATGCCTACAGAAACACGAGTGTGACTGCAGGAGCATCTGTACATTAATATCTGGAACACCCAGCCATGTATCAAAGCCGTATACACCTCCAGGTAACTGGGCTCCCCTCCCTGAGCCCAGTAGCTCCTGTTCTTGGGAGAATGCTTAAAGGAATTGCTGCCATTTGGAGAGAAACCAAAGTCTCATTCCAAGGTGAAACATCACTYTAAGAGCCAAAGAGGTCCTTAAGTTCCTTAATTCGGAATTAAAGAGCAAAAAATAAATATATATATTTATATATATAATTTCAGCTAAGTACTTTTACATAGAAGCATTTCCTTATTCTCAGGTTTATTTTTCTAAGTTGTTCCCTCTGCAGGACACATGTGCAAACCCTGCCAGCCACCCATGACTGGGACCTGCTCCCTGCCGGTGTCACCTCGAGGGAGGTCTGCCTTGCCCCGGGATCCCCTCCTCAGCCTCGTCTGCGGCTCTCATCCCAGCTCTATTACACGGGGACAGAGCAATAAATGTGCTTTCCACAGAGCAGCCTCTCCCACGTCACCAAAGGGAAAGCAAATCCATGAGCAGTCAGCAATTCGCCCCTTGGAGCCGCAGGGAGGGCTGGCCCGAGGCACCCCAAACTGTTCTCCCAAGGCCACTTCCCGCACCCACCACGGCATCTTTAAAAGCTGATGCTGTACCTGGGTTACTGATGTTGAGCAGCTTGCAGGAGTAGGGATCTTCTCTGTCCTCCACTGGCACAGCACAGCCATGCGCACCTATTATAAACTTCACAAGGACACTAAAATAATTTGGCTTTATTAACACCAGCTCTCTTCCCTCTTCCCTCCGCTTTCAGTAAACTTATTCCACCACAAYAGCCTGTCTTTCACAGGACTAACATTTTGAACCTCTTACAAATCAATTGCCAGGCTCAATGCAGAGTAACTCTGTGAATCTCTGCGTGGGGGATTCGTGCTCAGTGCCAAACCCATATCCATAGGGCACACTGCATTTCACAGCCAGGCCCAGGGAGTGATCAGCAACCAGCACCGGCATTCAGGACAGCCAGCAGGCTAAGCAGAAAGAGATGGGAGCCGGGACTGAGGGATCCTGCAGCCCGGCCTCCTCCYGACCAGGGCAGGACTGCTTAAACGTCTGAATTCAAAGTTAATGAATACATTAATAATAAGCATATATAGCACCAAAGGAGGCACAAGGACTCCAGTCTTCACTCACAGTGAAGGGTCTCAGCTGTGGGTTGTGTTCAACCAACTGGTTGCCCTTTTTGGCCTTGATCTTGGCAACATCACAGCCTGGAGGCACAAGCAGTAAAAAACAGCAAGGGCTCCCTGCTCAGCCCGGGCTCCTACAGCTTATGTATYCCCCTCAAACTCCATAAAAAACAGGGAAAGGACAGGTTTTACCTGAGTGTAGCAGCTCTAAATTGCACAGTAAGACAAAATTTGTAAATGGGAAATGGCTTTTGCTACAAAAGAGGTRCCCAAATTACAAAGTTCCCAAGGACAAACTGCAGCAGAACTTTCCCATCAAAGCCATGGCTGTTTGCAGACTCCAGCTTAAGCAACCAAGAAGGGTTCTGCTAATCACTYACACTGCAGGTGTCTGGAATAACTGGTACAGCTTGGAATAAAGCTCAACCTTAAGGCTGAAGTTACTCTAGGAAGCTTCTGTGGTTCTCCCGCCGTATGCCTGTGCTTGCTTTCCAGTATGCTGGATTAATAAGCAATCTAAGTTGCATACCACGCAAGGCAGCATTGCGATGCAACAAAGGGAAAGTCATTATGCACTGTGTGCGCCGCTTCTTGTATGCTATTAATGAACAATCRCATCTAATTGCAAAAGCTCGGTATCAAAACCTGAACCTGACTCACTTCCATCTGCGATTCRGGAGGGCAAAACTATGGAAATGTAACAGTGTAATCTGCAGCAATTCCCAGCAGCTTCACGTTATAATTTAGCTCTCCAGCTTCCCCGTGGCTGCCGYCCCAAGTCCCAGGCTGCATCTGAAAGACTCTGCACCAACAGCAGAGCCACTCGTCAAAAGGCCTTTAGGACGGTCCTTCTCAGCAGAGGGACACSATAAAGCTTCCTTTGTTTCTTCGTTTATAATGTTGCCATCAACTTTATTCTGACACACTACATATGGGGTAGTGTAGAGGAGCCCAGTATTATCCCGTGTAATTCCCACAACAGCAGTAAGCAATCAAACAATTTCAATTTCCTCTTTGTATTAAAAACTTCCAGCCCAGAACAAGCAGTACTTTTATATATTTTATATATTCCTAAGTAGATTTTTAAAATGACCCAGTATAGGATGCTCAGAAATGAAGGCATTTTTTTCCCCCAGAAATAAATTAAAAAAAAAAAAAAAAGGCATTAAACCAACACATTTGCTCCTGGTGTTGGCAGAAACACAAAACACTGGGGTTACCGTTGGCTCAGCGCGGGATGTTGTTTCAAGTGCTTGAACCACGTGTCCCTGATGACGCTGCGCAGCTCATGGTTGTGCCGCGCTGACAACACTCCTACRACGACATCGTAGTGCCCCAACTTCCAGCCAGGAAAGAGGGCCAGYGGACCTGGGAATACACAGGGACGAGGGTCACCATGGGCAAGCGTTAGCCCCATCTCAATAACCAACGCGCACGGCAAAGGCAAGAGTGAGTGCTGGCATCCGATGGAAGCAGGAGGCAGAAGAAGCGCTGCTATTAGAATTCACTGCTTCTCTACCTAGGGAAAACCTGTTTACACGGTGCCTCTCATTTTCAGACAGGGGGGGGAAAATGGGCCCCTTTGGCTCACCGTTTCCCCCTAATATGTCAGGGTCTGTCTTGTTTCTTGCCCTCAGGATGCTCAAACTGCTCTGCCTTCACAGAGTTTTAGTTGCCAACATGGAGGAGTGCCCTGGCCTTTCCATAGCTGGATGTCACAACCAAGCCCCCTAGCACACAGTTTAGCTTGGGCTGCTTTAACTGGGAGATCTTGAGAGTCAGACTTCTTCCAAAACCCAGTTTTGACTAGATAGAAACGTGAGAAGCTGTGACGTGAGGCCTGCAAACACCCGGGCAAACAGCTGAACCAGGAGTCTCGCTTATCAGCTGTTCCAGAGCTGAGATTTATATTTAGCTATAGCAAAGGATCACTTCCATCTCCTCTAGTCATGTTTTTTTTTCATTAGGCTGCAGATAAAGAAAACAAACCTAAATGCAACTGCCCTCCAACTACTCCTGACAGCACAGGAGTGATTTTTTTTTTCAAAAAAATCTATCTGTATAGAGACCAAAAATACCTCCAAGCCCATACTATGTCCTCCCACAAGAAAGACCTGAGTTCGAGCCAGATTCTGCGTTCTGGCTCCTGGTTGCTCCACTTTGAAACTGAGACGATGCATGGGCCCTGCGAGAGCTGTTCACTGCCGTGACCCTTGAGCAGCTCCCACCCAGTGGCACCGCGCAGCACTGGGGCCCCATGCACAAACATGGGTTTTCCAGAAAAGCGTGAAGTTCCACAAACGGGTTAAAAACGAAACGGCAGCCACAAACTCGTCACCAGCACCAGCAGAGCATTCCACTGCCGTTCCAAGAGCAGGTTTAGGGAGCGGGTTTGCATGGCAATGCCACCAAAGCCCCCGCACGGAGCAGGGTGGCTCCCCTGGCTCAGCCCGAGGCCCTGTGCTGCCGCTGCTCACAGCCGCGCAYCCACGCTCGGGGCACCCAGGGAGCTGCACCGTGCACCCAGCTGCGCAGCCCTCGGCTGTGCCTTGCGCCGCCGCACGCCGAGCACATTGCCAGGGAGCCTGGCCTAACCAAGCCCCACGGCCCTTCACCAGAGCCMAGGGTTCCTCGGAACCCCTCCGCAGCCGCAGCAGCCCTCCCGAGGCAGCCCTTGGCCGCCCCGGCTCCCCCTCCAGCCTGTGCTCRCTCTGCAAACAGGCTCTGCAGCCCCAAACACGAGCCGGCTCTCTTGGAGGACTCCCACGTCTGTGCAACGTTTACACAGATTTTGCTCCAATGACACTGTCACTCAGGGAAAACAGACCATTTTCCAAAATTAATGAAAGATAAAACCAAGAACACAAGTCTATAGGGCCAACTGAATTGTAACAGCGTAAGTTGGCTTGAATCAACTTTTTAAAACCCTAAAAATAACCTATTCAAGTAAAAAATAAGTATTTATTAGCTTATATTCTTAGAGGAATGAAGCTTTTTCTTACGAACCATTCACACAGGGGTACAAGGTTCATGCTGCATGTGCTTCCCAGCTAACACCCTCTTACTTTTAGAGCAGCCAGCCCCTTTCTCTTGTTTTATGCCTTGGGAAGCGGCACCACGGTGCTCCGTACTTGGAAGATCCTTGGGTTATGCCATTTTATTTCTAAAGCCATTGAAAACAGGCAAAAAACAAGAAAGCTTACTCTAGCAAAAAACTAGKGAATAAGCTCCCCACTTGTAAGCAAAGGTTTCTACTTCCCACTCAAAAGCAGGATTAACATTTCTTAAGCTTTCAGGAAAAGAATCAACTGTCTCTCTCTGAGCTAGTACTATTAAAAAAGAGGGGACTGCAGAATAAAGAGGTACAGGAAACATATATGAGCCTATTATTTATTTATGGATAATTCAGATGTGTGCATCAGGATCTGATACAGTGTAAGTTAAAAAAAAAAACACTGCTGACTTCCAAGTCAATAATAATGAAGTATTTATACATGCAATCAATACTTGCCACGGSGGGCGAAACTTACTTGCTTATGTGTTCTATTTCTGTTGTTTCTTAGGCCACCATTTTACATGTCAGTGATAGATTTAAAAATATGTACTATATTTCTCTTTTCTTATGTTGTTTGTGCAAGCTAAGCAAGACTTCAAAATTTCCAATTACAAAGAAAAGAAAGAGCTGCAAATTSCGTGGTTTGCAAAGGGGAGGCAAACCAGAGACACAGTCCTAATCCAAACTGTGCCTTGGGCTCTTGCATGATCCAGTGCAAGTTTCTCCCTGCATTTTTCAGCCTTCCCATTTGCTCAAGGGTACCTCACAAGCAGTGTGGAACATGAGCCGGCCACCAAGGAGGTCCCTGCTCACAGGCACCTATGGCCCTGGCCAAATGAAAGCCACCCCAGCAGGCAGCTCAGTGTCTCCAAAGCCCAAACCGCAAGGGTCACCAGGCACCTCTGCTTCCTGCGAGGTGACTCTCAAGGAACATGTCAAGTTAAGCTGCTACTTATATTTACTGTCCTTATAAGGAGATGAGAAGATTGAGAGATCATTTTAGCTTGATTCTGTCAATAAACAAGGCAAGTGTGATCCTGCTGCACAGGGGTCTATTGATCCATCTCCCATCAATTTCCAAATTCATCAATCATTTTCAGTCAAGTTTGACCCAATTTGGCTCTCAAAGTAATTAAGTTCCTACATGTTTCGTGCAACTGGGCTGGGCAGACAAGGGATTTCTTGTAATGCCTGTGCTGAGGAAGGTAGCAGGGCTGGCTTAGGGGCATTCTCAGGCACCAGCGAGTCCCCACTGGTCACTGCTGCTGCAGGAGATCTCCACGGGGAGCTGGACTTTGCATCTTCTGCTACCCATGCAGCTTTTCAATAACAAGTAAATTGAATTAGATATGCCAGGAAGATGTTAATAGAAATATTTTCAACTTATTCACTTCAAAGGTAAGGTTAAAATAAAAGAGAAGCCCCACTCCAACCAAAAAAAGCAAACACACACACACTCATACATATTCCATCTGCTCTCTGCCTATTCCCGTGACTCTGCATCCTTATTCCTGTTTTTAACTGCCTTTCCCTCCAGCACTGCATTGTGAAAGATGCAAACAAGCTAGAGGAAGGAATTAAGGAACATAAAGAAGGCTTTTATTCACAAAATGCTGACACATGCACCAAAAGAACAAACCAAAGAGCAAAAGCTGCTCTTCTCCTCCTAATCTTCTTCCCTTACACTGATCTGCTGTAGCTCATCTGCATTAAACATTTCCGTGCAAGCAGAGCTCCGTGGCCTTGCTGCAGGAGCTATTTTATACCTGAGCTAAAATTCACCACAATGAGCACCCCAGGTCATTGCAGGGGCACAGGACTCCTCCTGAGAAGTCAAAAACAGGCTAATAGCTCCCTCCTCCTCTGTCACCTGCGAGACACAAGGCTTGTCTATGCAGGATGTAACCCAAATTCCGCAAGGTAAATCATTAAACACAAGTCAATCCCGTATGTAATTCCATGGCACTCATGCTYGAAAAAAAAAATGCTGCACCACAGGAGAGCAGATGGCATACAAGTTGGTTCTAGAAAATGGTGC